TTCTTAATTCATACAATAGTGAATTATGGTGCTATGCTAGGCCAACAGTGGCTGCAAAAAATATATTTACTTCCTAATCCCTGGAACCTTTGAGTGTTACTTTATTTGGAAGAAGGGTTTTTGGAGGTATGATTAAAGTTAAGGATTTTAAGATGAGGGATTTATCCTGGATCAGAAGTGAGCGCTAAAGCCATCACAAGTGTCCTTATTAGAGGCAGGGGTAGATTGAAAACACAAAGAGGAAGAAGTAAAGTTAGGCAGAGTTTGGAGGGATAGGGCCAAAGAGGAATGTTGGCAGCCACCAGCACCTGAAAGAAGCAAGGAATAGATTCTCCCCTGAGCCTCTGAATGTAGTGCATCCTTGCCAACGCATTGATCCCAGACTTCTGGCCTCCAGAATTATGAGGGAATAAACCTCTGTTGTTTTAAGCCACCATGGTTATTGTAATTTGTAAAGGCACCCACAGGAAGCTAATACAAGTGGCAGTAACCATTCTGCTTGACTGCTTCTCAGAAAGCCATAGAGAGGATTTTATAGAAAGTGTATTTTAATGAGTCAGTATGCTTCATTGTAACTATGGAGTAATTGCAAGTTTGAGTATGTTATTAAACACAGATTCTCTTTGATTGTGATAGAAAGTAATTGCTGCATGTAATTGGAAGGTAACATGTCAAATATAGGTTGCTGATATTCTTACATTATTTATTATTTTTTTCTTTTTTTTTTGAGATAGTCTCAAGTAGAGTGCTGTGTAGAGTGCTGTGGCATCACAGCTGACAGCAACCTCAACTCCTGGGCTTAGGCAATTCTGTTGCCTCAGCCTCCTGAGTAGCTGGGACTACAGGTGCCCGTCACAACGCCCGGCTATATTGTTACATATTTAATTATTACACTGTAGTTAGGGTGGTGCCTGTGGCTCAAGGAGTAGGGCACTGGCACCATATACCAGAGGTCATGGGTTCAAACCCGGCCCTGGCCAAAAACTACAAAACAAACAAATACACTGTATTTAGCTTATGTTAAATCTGCGGACGTGGGGTTTGGAAATGTAACTTGTACCTTCCTTTAATATAAATCTTAGAAATCAGTGCATTAGGAGGGACTTGACAATGTTAGACACTGCAGAGGATTCTCATACAGTATTTTACACCAGCGTCTGAATGGGAAAGGCGGGGATTGTGTAAAGCTCTTCCCGTGGATCACATGTTACAGTCACACAACAGCTATTTTATAGCTTGCCTTAGAATTCTTAAAAAATTGAAGGCTATCAATCAAACCCTTCCATTTAAATTCTATCTGCTTCTCCGAATCCTTGGATCTATTTGGAAATAATCCAACAGCAAACCATGCTGTTTGGTGTTCCAGGAATCCATGGCATTAAAGGATGTGATTGTGAGCTTTTCCAGAGGAGAGTGGAAGAAGCTGGACCCTTCTCAGAAGGAGCTGTATCAGGAAGTGCTACTGGAAAACTTCGAAAACCTAGAATTTCTGGGTAAAGCTGTCTCTTAATTATCTAGCATTTCAGCTGGGTATTTTTTGTCCCCTTTTTAAGAAAGGCAAGTGCTGTATCTAAAGTATTGCGGCTGGACATAAAGGCACTAATATGACTAATTCTAAAATGGGTCCTAAAAGTTGCTTTTCTGTATCATTTCCTCAAGAAAAAAGGTCTTTGCTTTGTTGAATTGGGAACATGGAGCATCATTTTGCCGTCATCAATGCTATATACCTTCCCCTGTTTTCTCCTCAAATTCCAGTATTGATGTCTATGTATTTGAAACCATCTTTTAGCTTCCCTGGAGAACCAGAGGCTATGTATAAATGTTGAGAAGTCTTTGTTCTATGCATAAATAGCCATTTTTCATTGTTTTCTCCATGAGCAGGCTGTCCAGTTTCCAAACTAGATTTGCTTTCCCAGCTAAAGTGGAGTGAACTGCCATGGCTGCTGGAAAAAGAAATCTCAAAAGACTCCAGACCAGGTAAGGAGCTGGTGAAAAGTAGACAAAGAAATGAAAACCGATTTTATTTTTTTTTTTTTTTGCAGTTTTTTTTGGCCAGGGCTGGGTTTGAACGCGCCACCTCTGGCAAATGGGACCAACACCCTATTCTTTTGAGCCATAGGCACTACCCATGAAATGAAAACAGTTTTTTACCAACTCTGTTGGGAAGAACCTTTGAAATGTTGAATGGGCTGGGTGTTAAAATTCAAAGATGATTAGGATTGAGTTCTTGCTTTGGGATGTTGTTTTGTTTTGTTTTTGAGACAATCTGACTCTGTTGCCCAGGCTAGAGTGCATGGCATCAGCCTAGCTCACACCAACAGCAAACTCTTGGGCTCAAGTGGTCCTCACACCTCACCCTCCTGAGTAGCTGGAACTACAAGTGCCTGCCAGAAGGCCTGGCTAATTTTTCTATTTTTAGCATAGATGGGGTCTCAGTCTTGCTCAGGCTGATCTCAAGCTCTTCAGCTCTAGTGATTCCCCCTACCTTGCCCTTCCTGAGTGCTAAAGTTACAGGTGTGAGCCACTGCACCCATCCTGGAATATTCATTTTAGATAATATTGGTTTGGGTCCTCTGAGAAATAGATGCCAAGACATAGTTAGCCATGCATGGGATTTATTGGGAAAACTTCCAGTGAAGGAAAACAGGGAGGTAGCTGGATAAAGCTAGGAGAGCTATCAGCATGTTGCTGGTCTAACCCCTGTAACAGAATGAGAGAGGGAAGGAAGGCAGATCCAGAAGGAAGAGTCTTAGACTAAAGTGCAGTTCTAAGAAAGTTTAGGCCAAAAGGAATCCCTCAGTCATAGTTAACCTGTTAGAAGAGTCCTGCATCTTAACAGAAATAGGTTTGCTTAAGCGTTCCTATACTCCATCATTAACTAGAAGCAGCCCGTGGGTGTCAGGTAATCACCCCATGCACAGATGTGAAAGGCACATATTTATAAACTCTGGGGACAGATATGAAAACAAAAAGTGGTAATGATGTGATGTATAATATAATGGCATGCCTAAGGAACACAGGAGCAAAGATTTAATTAGCATTTGAGTTGAATCTTTTTTTTGTTTGTTTTTTGAGACAGAGTCTCACTTTGTCACCCTTGGCAGAGTGCTGTGATGTCACAGCTCACAGCAACCTCAAACTCCTGGACTTCAGTGATTCTCTTGCTTCAGCCTCCCCAGTAACTGGGACTACAGGCACCCACCACAACTCCTGGTGTCTGGCTATTTTTAGAGACAAGGTCTCACTTTGGCTCAGGCTGGTCTCAAACCTATGAACTCAGGCAGTCCACCTGCCTGGGCCGCCCAAGTGCTGGGATTACAGGCGTGAGCCACTGCATCAGACTGTTTATGCAAGTTTTTTTTTTTTTTTTTGAGACAGAGCCTCAAGCTGTACCCCTGGGTAGAGTGCGGTGGCATCACAGCTCACAGCAACCTCCAACTCCTGGGCTCAAGCAAGTCTCCTGCCTCTCCCTCCCAAGTAGCTGGGACCACAGGTGCCTCCACAACACCTGGCTATTTTTTTTTTGGTCGCAACAGCCATCATTGTTGTTTTGGCGGGCCCAGGCTGGATTCAAACCC